TTAGATATTACATCAGAAGCATGTAAAAACGTTAGACAAATGCAATCATGTTTCGATATGCATTAACACATCTCATCAGACGTTATTAAATAACTGATGAGTAGACAATTTATTGAAATTTATAAAGAAGACACACCCTCTTTTCACAATAAAAGAAAGAATAAGAAAAAAGTAAGAAAGAAAAGAAGAGATGTTTGGCGGGTTTGTTTTGTCTTTATTCAGATGAGTTAAGACGCATCGAAACAGGATTGCATTTGTGTAGCGTTCTTTACATGTTTTTGAAGTAATATCCTAAAATAAAGTATATTGCTCTAATTTTGTATTGAGCCCTCTTTTAAATTGAATTTTACGAACGTCGGAAATTGACTATTCGTTCTCATTTTACATGGCTATATATATATATATATATATATATATATATACGCACACACAAACATATATATATATATTTATATATATATATATCTATGTATATATATATATATATATATATACACACACACAAACATATACATTCACTTACGTGCTAATACCCTAGGGAAATGTATGAATCCTCTTCTTATCCCTCACCCAGTAAATAGCAAGACAGACGGACTGGGTTCTGTAGCCTCAGATGGCAACTGGTCTAGGAGAAGGACAACTCTGAATTCAAAACCTCTGGAGGGTCGTTTGGAAACCTTGTGATACGTAGTGCACCAGAGCTCTTCAAGAAGTTTGGTTGGTTCTGCACAAAACCTTCACCACTATAATCAAACCTTATGTGCATGTGTCCGGCTGTATATATAAACTAAAATTGGCACTTGGCTATATTATTAATACAAATAATTAAGATCAAAGCCGCTATAACATCGATAATCGATTCTCTAATCATGACTTTGGAATCACCAACAAAAACACAGGAGGATAATCCAGATCTATTGCAGGAAGATGTAAATCTCTTGGAGAGCACCATGAAGATATTCATGAGGTTCGAGCAAAAATCGCCCGTCGTTCATCTTGTTCACCTGACCACATTCAAGAAGCTTGCTATCTTCGAGTTCCTGTGTGTGAAGCCTAGCAAGACATCACTTTTCATTTCTTATGCTATACTGTAAGCTGGCATGTTAATAATCTCGATTGGTCTGAAAGGGAATGGAGAAGGTTCAAATTTGATGCACATTACGACGCATTATTTTAGGTCGTCTTAGACGTATCGCTAACTGAAATTTTGAAATACCCGAATCACTATATATATATATATATGTGTGTGTGTGTGTGTGTGTGTAATATCTATTGTATGTAATTTATATGCTCTGTTAAAATAAATACATGGAGGTCTTTTTGCGTATTAGTTTTAATATTTTATATTATTAGGATTCACTTGGATTATATACCAACGGATTATTACTTATATATATATATATATATATATATATATATATATATATATATATATATATATATATATATTATTGATCTAGGATTTAGTGTGCATTTGCGCGCATGCGTGCGTGTTCACTTCAACGTGCAATCTAGCGAAAATAATAACTGTTTTGCTAATTCTTGTGTTCTAAAGTTTCACTCTCTCTCTCCATATATATATATATATATATGCGTGCGTGCGTGTGCGTGTGTGTGTGTGTGTGCACGTGAGACAGAGAGAGAGAGTGTATTGCATATGAAGTTATAATCTTTATTTTGATCTACAATGTTTATTTTATAATGTTTGATCGATGCCAACTTTAATAAATGAAATGCATTGGATGAGATGCATTGGAAAAATATTCTATTTTCCAAAATTAGTACTTCGTTCACGATTTACATTATTCAAATTATTGCCCTCATCTTTGTCGCCATATTTATTACAACGTTTCGGCCGTTGTACGCTCCGGGCTTCTTCAGGTGGTTGGAATGTCGAACAATAGTCCGAATAATTTAAAAAGTGTACATAATACCTCAGCTCAGAAATATGGACAGTACTTCGTTGTTCATAATAATTGTTTATCTTCTTTCATTAAATTACGAACTTATGTACGAACTCTCTCTCTCTCTCTCTCTCTCTCTCTCTCTCTCTATCTATCTATCTATCTCATTTATATATATATATATATATATATATATATATATATATATATATATGTGTGTGTGTGTGTGTGTGTGTGTGTGTCTGTGTGCGCACGAGCGTATGTTGGTGATTTTGAAATTTATTCAAATATCTCGGTCAACTCACAGTCTCTTCATATATATATATATATATATATATATATATATATATATATATATATATATATAAATATACATATATATATATATATATATATATATATATATATATATATATATATATACGGAGTACGTTTGTATGTTTGTGTCTGTGTTTGTAAAAATGCACATACCTGGAAAAGACAATATGAATGAAGACAAAAGTAAAACTTATCTTAGCTGACGCGTTTCGTCCTCTGATGAGATTTATTTAAGTCATCATCCATAATTTATCTTGACTTTCCATTTGAGTGAAGTACATTTATGAAAATTCTGAAAAACAAACGAAATGTTTACCTATTTATATATTCTTGTTGCAAAATTCATGCCTTGATAAAGGCCATCAGAAAACGAAACGGCTAACATAAGTTTTTTGTCTTTATTCATAAATATATATATGTGTGTGTGTGTGTGTGTGTGTGTGTGTGTGTGTGTGTGTGTGTGTGTGTGTGTGAAGAAATATGGTTTTTAGGTATGCTATATTTATGGGATAAAGTGATCAATATCAGAGATAGAGCGTGTGTAAATATAAAAGTGAACTTTGAAGTCAAAACTCAAAGGCGACAGTCTGTTTCATGCTAGACGCAATTGTCAGACCTAATGATGAGTGTTGACTTTAATTTCCAGTTATATATATATATATATATATATATATATATATGAGAAATGTATATATGCATAAGAAATTACAAATCGAATATCTAACGATTGCTTTTAGCAGAAATGGCCAATTAATTTTTATTTCCTTATTTGTTTATATATATATATATATATATATATATATATATTGTATATATATGCATTCATACATTTCTCATATATATATATATATATATATATATATATATATATGAGAAATGTATGAATGCATATATATATATATATATATATATATATATATATATATATATATATATATATATGAGAAATGTATGCATAAAACGTTACAACTACTCGAATATTTATGGAGACACGAATGATTTTTAGAAATGTTGCTAAAACAAAGTGTCTTCGCTCATAGCATGCGCATAGAACGACATTTTCCGATGCAATACCTTATAGGAAGTTTAACAGAGACCATTCTATGATCAAGCAAAGCAGAATGGAAGAATTGACGGTTTTATTGCGACAAACGTTCATGTGAATCGGTCCTGCCACTTGCAGTTGCAGTAACATCATCCTGGTACGACCGTCGAGTTTGTAAGAACCTCTCTTTGACCATATATGGTTTTGAGAAAAGACGTTACAAGATCCAGTGGCACCACCGGCATTCTCGTGGCGAGCGCTGGGTATCACGTCACGTGACCTACGAACTCTCTTTTCTTTTGTGTCTCGTGACTTGAGGCCGACGACAACGCCGGTGTTCGAAAAAAAAAATGTCACCACCGAACAGCAACAACTACTTCGACAACTAATCGATAGAATATAAGAAAAAAAGTTACGTCATCATTTACAAACTGTAGCTATTTACTGAGCCGAAATCAGCCTGATACCTGACAGTGAACGTGTTGCATCAGAAGAAAGCAAAGATACTGAAGATGTTATTTAAAAACCTTATATTTGCATGGAGCACATGTGGGTCACTAAGTGTGGATCGACAGCAATAATAAACAGCGGCGTCATTTTCTGGCCATTGGTCTAAGTCGAGATGTCCATACTTCATTTAGTCTGGCATAAGGACAGCAATATTGGACACCTAGTAAAGCTCAAGCCCATTATAGTAATAATAGCTTGTGACACTAACTTATTAACATAGAGCTAGGCAATGATATTTAATATAGTCTGAGATAAGACTTCAAATTCCAGGCACCTCGTGAGGTTCAAACTCAGTACTGTATTTATTAGGTATAGAGCTAGCTCGTTAAAAAAGAGAGCCATACTAACAGGATAGATAGATAGATAGATAGATAGATAGATAGATAGATAGATAGATAGATAGATAGATATACATATTCAGGTAGATAGATGATGTACATATTCAGATAGATAGATAGATAGATAGATAGATAGATAGATAGATAGATAGATAGATAGATAGATATACATATTCAGGTAGATAGATGATGTACATATTCAGATAGATAGATAGATAGATAGATAGATAGATAGATAGATAGATAGATAGATTGGTTTGTTTTACGGCATATCAACCTCAATGGGTTATTTAATGCCGACATTTTATTGCTGGTAATTTTTTTTTTCAAAAATGTATTTCTGGTAATGCTTTTTCCTCAAAAATGTATTGCTGGTAATTTTTTTTTTTTCGAAAGTGTTTCTAGTATTAAAACCTATTTTTAAACCTTCATAGTGTTTTGACACCAGTTTGGAGGTTAACTATTTGCCCATAGCTAGAACCCTAATAGGTCCTATCACTCTGGGTCAGGGTAGACCTGGAAACACCAGCAGTTAAGAGGTGGTCCCACGCTCCTCAGCACCTCCTGATCAGAGGCCTTGCTGTTGGACATAGTTTATCGTCTTATCCAGGACGAGATAGAGAGAGAGATAGATAGATAGATAGATAGATAGATAGATAGATAGATAGGAACTGACTAAAGTAGATAGACAGATAGATAGATAGATAGATAGATAGATAGATAGATAGATATTAACAGAACGAGATAGATAGATAGATAGATAGATAGATAGATAGATAGATAGATAGATGACTGGAAATGACTGAGATAGATAGATAGATAGATAGATAGATAGATAGATAGATAGATAGATAAAGTACATATTCTGATAGATATTATACATATTCAGATAGATAGATAGATAGATAGATAGATAGATAGATAGATAGATAGATAGATAGATAGATAGATAGTGCACAATGGAATAAACACCGTATGATAAGTTTCATGCCACATCACGATTTTCATACAATTCACTATGCAGTATTGATTCCTACCTTAACTGCCTATGAACGCTATATTGAGCACACTTTCCTCCTAGAAAACTTTAAACAATATATATCTTTGAGCGTGTTTGCGTGTGTGTGGCTTCTATAAGCTGTCAGTAAGGTTTACATAGTATTGCATAAATCCTATCAAATACATAAAAAAGACTTCAGTGAAATTTTCAATGCATTTCTCTAATAGAATTACTTACAATAAAGTAATTAGCAGTGCACATGTGAACTAAATCATTTTCTATACATTAGCATAATTTATATAATGATCTTATTCTGTTAGTGACGTTCTTATTAATTCCTGGCTACTGTTAATTACTTATTTATTTTCAATGCAATTCAATAATAAATAATTTCCAATACATTTGCATTAACACCAGTGTTGGTGTGTCACACGACGGAGTTTGGGGTGTTTCGAAATTTTAAATTAAAATAACAAAATCGACGTCAAAAAAACAAACCAAAATAAACAGATCGATGAGTGAAAAACGCGCTTAGCAATTTTTTCTTCGGGAGATTTTAATCGAAAACTGAAGACCAAATACTTCGCTACTAATAAAATTACATAATAATGTATTTTTAATTTAACCAAAAATGCTACTGAAATACATAAAAAATATGTGTATATATGGAGAAAGCACTGTGAAAGTTCGAACGTGTTAAAAGTAGTTTACAAAGCCTTTTGGGTTTTTTGGGGTTTTTTTTTTTTTTTCTGCTGGACAAATATCAAAGAATAATGTTCCATGGTCAGGATCTCCCCGGTCTCTTGAACAAGGTTAAGTAAATGCTATATTTTATAATAAACAGTATTAATAACATTGTTCGAGAAATTTTCAGATAAAATATTTGTCCTCCGACAGAAATCGAACCTGTATCCTATATGAGAGATTCATGGAAGATTGAAGTTTAGAAGCAGTAAAATCGACCGTGTTAACCTAACGATCATCCATGGCTCGATCGGTTAAGGCAGGTCAGGCTAAATGACGGATCCGTATAGGTTACAGGTTCGATTCCTGTTGGAGAACGATTATTTTCCATGAAGATTTTGCGGACATTCAGGCCGGTAAATGTTATTAATACTGTTTAATATAAAACAGAGCATTTACTTAAACATTTGTATCTGTATAAACATAAAATTTCCTAATATATATATATATATATATGTGTGTTTGCGTATATATAGAGATAGATAAAAATTTAATGCGAGTGTGAGATGATTTAATGAAAAACGGTTACATACAAGCTAAATATTTCAACTTTTTTGATTCTCGGAGCACCAATAACGTTGGGAAAGGCATGAACCTGCATTCTATATATATATATATATATATATATATATATATATATATACAAAATGTAGGTATGAGCCAATTTAAAATTATCACCATGATAAACAGTAAATGTAAACCAAGTTACAACTGAAGATGTTTAATTCCTCGTAACCTTGTGAAAGGCATGAATCCAATTCTCCACACACACACACACACACACACATATATATATATATATATATATATATATATATATATATATATATATTCCAAATTATATTGTTAAAAAAAAACAGACAACGAATGTCTATTACATTGGATCCTGAGCCGTTCTAAGCTTCGTATAGTGGCTCTAGTTTCCGAAGAAAATAAAGACAGAACTGTCCAATATTTTCGATATTTTTTTATTATGTTGTTCCTCGATTTAAGCTTTCGGCTCACATAATCAATCATCAGAATGGTTGTATGGCCATTACAACAGAGGTGTTCACCATCAAAGATGGCGTTCTGTTATGTTGACGTAGAAGTTTGCTATGCAACGATAACGGTCGCGGAATGTCAGACGCAGGTCGTAAATTCGTAATGCGGTTCTATGAAGCCGTGCAGTACCACACGAGAGGAAGAAATTTTATCAACCGAACCATGTGTTTAAGTGCTTTGGAATATGTTTTGACTTTTGTGTAAACATAACAAGATGTCATCCAGGATGATAAACCTCTCTTTTGTAATGTCCATATAAAAACTCTGATGATGGCTCATGTGAGACGAAGGCTTAAATTAATGAACAGTATAGTAAAAAATATATCCAATTTTTGGACAGTTTTTGTTTTTATTCTCTCCCGAAATTAAAACCAATATACGAAGCTTAGAGCGGCTCCTGATCAAACATAACAGATATTCGTTATCTGTTATATTTAATAATATATGTTTGAATAATGATCTATTGCCCTATACAATACATATATATATATATATATATATATATATATATATATATATATATATACACACATATGTATACGTACATATACACACACACACACACACACACACACATATATACTAATTGGTGATATCAGATAGGAAGAAAGAATAACACTTATCAGTATTAAATGCAGTATATGTACACCAAGTCCGAATTGCAACTGAGGCTCATTAATTCCTCGTCGCACTAATAGCCTTGGGAATGGCATGAATCCGCATCCTTACTTTCTGTCTCAACCTCAGAAATCCTTTCAAAAATGTCTCATTTGGTAGTTGATGACGAAGAAGACCAGTTTCCCATAACTAGCTTTCTGTCCTGGCAGTAGTGACAGTAAAACCTTTTTACATCCTTTTATCAACCTTGACAAGGGACAGTCACTGCCGACAGTTTTATTTTCTTTCTTTTACAAAGGCAACGTATTCAGCTGTTCCTTTGGGAGTGGCCACAAAGGTACGCTACAAGGATTCGATTCCTGTTCGTCGCGAAATTCATGAAGTCGCAGACAAAAGTGGGAAAATGATTCTGCAAAGTCTGCTAAAAAAAAAAGGAATTCCTTTGTTTCTCGAAGAAAAGCCTACTTGAGGCGATTATGGCGAATTTATTTCTTCTCTGTAGATGATCACTTGACATTCTGAATTTCATCAGATGGGCTTTCAAGCATTACTGCTTCAGTTTCTCGACATACATGATTGACATTATCCTTATTTCAAGTGAAACAATAAATCTGTTTCTTTCGCTGCCTGGGACCCGAATTTCTTTATTCCCGAGTATTTGAATAGATATACGTATAGAAGAGAACATGTTATTAGCTATTTACAAAGTTTCATGCAGTCTGGCACAAGGTCAAAATAAAGGAGCATTTAGAATAAATATTTATATGTGAGAGGACATGTTCTTGGCTATTTACAAAGCTTAATGCAGTCTGGCACAAGGTCAAAATAAAGGAGCATTTAGAATAAATATTTATATGTGAGAGGACATGTTCTTGGCTATTTACAAAGCTTAATGCAGTCTGACACAAGGTCAAAATAAAGGAGCATTTAGAATAAATATTTGTATGTGAGAGGACATGTTCTTGGCTATTTACAAAGCTTAATGCAGTCTGGCACAAGGTCAAAATAAAGGAGCATTCAGAATAAATATTTGCATGTGAGAGGACGTTCTTGGCTATTTACAAAGCTTAATGCAGTCTGGCACAAGGTCAAAATAAAGGAGCATTCAGAATAAATATTTTCATGTGAGAAGACGTTCTTGGCTATTTACAAAGCTTAATGCAGTCTGGCACAAGGTCAAAATAAAGGAGCATTCAGAATAAATATTTGCATGTGAGAGGACGTTCTTGGCTATTTACAAAGCTTAATGCAGTCTGGCACAAGGTCAAAATAAAGGAGCATTTAGAATAAATATTTATATGTGAGAGGACATGTTCTTGACATGTTCTTGGCTAAAATAAAGGACATTTACAAATATTTGCTTAATGCAGTTAATGCAGTCTGGCACAAGGTCAAAATAAAGGAGCATTTAGAATAAATATTTGTATGTGAGAGGACATGTTCTTGGCTATTTACAAAGCTTAATGCAGTCTGGCACAAGGTCAAAATAAAGGAGCATTTAGAATAAATATTTATATGTGAGAGGACATGTTCTTGGCTATTTACAAAGCTTAATGCAGTCTGGCACAAGGTCAAAATAAAGGAGCATTCAGAATAAATATTTGCATGTGAGAGGACGTTCTTGGCTATTTACAAAGCTTAATGCAGTCTGGCACAAGGTCAAAATAAAGGAGCATTTAGAATAAATGTTTGTATGTGAGAGGACGTTCTTGGCTATTTACAAAGCTTAATGCAGTCTGGCACAAGGTCAAAATAAAAGAGCATTCAGAATAAATATTTGCATGTGAGAGGACGTTCTTGGCTATTTACAAAGCTTAATGCAGTCTGGCACAAGGTCAAAATAAAGGAGCATTTAGAATAAATGTTTGTATGTGAGAGGACATGTTCTTGGCTATTTACAAAGCTTAATGCAGTCTGGCACAAGGTCAAAATAAAAGAGCATTCAGAATAAATATTTGCATGTGAGAGGACGTTCTTGGCTATTTACAAAGCTTAATGCAGTCTGGCACAAGGTCAAAATAAAGGAGCATTTAGAATAAATGTTTGTATGTGAGAGGACATGTTCTTGGCTATTTACAAAGCTTAATGCAGTCTGGCACAAGGTCAAAATAAAGGAGCATTCAGAATAAATATTTGCATGTGAGAGGACGTTCTTGGCTATTTACAAAGCTTAATGCAGTCTGGCACAAGATCAAAATAAAGGAGCACTCAGTGTGTCTATTAATGAATATATACATGAGAGAAACCATGTTCTACGACTCACAATATACCTTAAAATTTTGGAATGTATACTTTTCAATATGGCTAGATTTGGGGATTTGGGGATTTGTGCAGATATAAGGGTTTTTTTTTTATTTTATTTTTTTTTTTTTTTGGTTTACCTGTTTAACTAGTAATTCTGATAAGTTATTTTTATTGTTCAAGTGTCCAGTTAGCATAATCGGGTTCAAATTCTTCCTTAGGCCGTTACCTTCACATAAATAATGACCCTGGGAAAGGTATGATTCCATCTCCTCTCCCCACACCTATGGGTTGAATAGCAGAGTAGATTAGGAGCTCAAGACCTCTAAACTTGGCAGTATTTCTCAACCTTTTTAAGCAACGGCACAC